AGAGGCGTGACAATATTTTAGACATAACACAATTTACCTATTATTTGCACAATGTTTTTACCTTAATAGAAGTAAATAACTTTTATGTTTAGTGTACAATTTTACACATAAAACACTGGCGTGATGATTTTGATTTTTATCAATTAGAACACTTTGTTCTTCAAGATTATAATATACATGATAAGAAGTAAATATAATTCATGCATTAAATTTAAATCAAAATTACCTCCCATAAGTTCACACAATTCTAAAAACTCATATTATTAACAAAAATGTCTAGAAAACATTTATAAACAATATTTTATTAAAACAAACTACAAACCTCTAATATCGGAAACCAAACGAAACCTTCTATAAAATTCAACAGTAACGTTCATGTGTCTTTTTTTAATCTTATTACTACTTACTGTCAAGTCCGAAGCACAAGGTATTTTCACTACTCTAATCATATAAAATTTGACAAGTATCAGATTAAATGCCAGTCACAAAAAACAAATAAAGATAACACATTATTATTTAAATGTATTTGTATTTGAAATGTAAAGTGTATTGGTTACTTAGTATTTTTACATTTGACTTTTTTTTACTTGAAATTCAAAATTTTCCAAAATCTAATAGGAGTTTCATGTAAAAATATTTGTAATATACAAGCTTCAGATGTTATTTACACTACCCTGGCAAAAATCTCAAGACACCCTTTAAATATGTAACAAGAACCATCTAACATGCACTGCAAAAGAATTCAGTGAGCATAAGTACACAGATATACCATATAGGTGGAGCTTAAGTACATATAACATGTCAAAATGTGGTGAATTTGAAAGATATTATCAGCTGCACGAAATATCAAAACCTATATGTGAATTAATCATAACATACAATTGAATGGTCACATGAATAATGTCAGAAAGTGTTGTCGAAGCATGATAAATGTTCAATTGTTAGCACTAAAAAAGTGTTGTCGAAGCATGATAAATGTTCAGTTGTTAGCACTAAAAAAAGTGTTGGATGCTACCCGTACAACAAATTCAGATGAATTTTATAGCATCGAACGTGACCACTTGTGAACAAGCACCATCTCCGAGGTCTGAAGGGCAGCCTGAAATTTCACGTTTTGCAAATTTGATGCAACTTAAACGTATGGGTCATTCAAATATTAAATAACACAATTTTAGTGAGAAAAATGCACATGTATTAAATTCAAAGCTTTATTAATGATCATACTATGACAACCTTGTATTCAACACTTGTATACTCCACTGTATTATATTATTAGAGTCAATAATCTTGTATCACAAATATAAAATGATACTGAATCTACTGTGGTACAAACTAATACTGTCATATATATAGGGTAGAATTATCACGGGGTCATTATGACGTTTCCCGAGATGAAGTCTGCATTTTTCTCATTGAGAATTATACAAAATAAGCATTGAGTTTTGACAGATAATTAATTAAAGGTACCTTGAGCTGAATTATACAAAATAAGCATTGAGTTTTGACAGATAATCAATTACAGGTACCTTGAGCTCAGCAGTAAAACCATAACTATTATGCGTGTGTAGTGAATGGGAGGGATGGTAGTGTTATGTAATTGAGATGGATGGGCATGGCTCAAGCATTACCTAAAGGGAAGACATGGGTTAAATTTGCCTTAAAATTGCATTTCATGATATTTTTAGAAAGTTATATGGTGAAGGCGTGTAAAGGAAATGAATTTTGTGTTCTATTAAATACCATATTTTTCAGTGTATAAGACGAACTTTTTTACCCCAAAATTTGATGTCAAAATCTGCTTGTGTCCTATACACCGAAGGTATGAATAATATATATGTATATATACAATATACACAAGCCATGTGTAAATATATTTAAATAGCCATGCATAGTTTAG